TTTAGGAAACCCTGACTCGTGCCAAAGGCCACGTGTCCGTCATCACCAAAGTTGCCTTGGCTCGAGAACTTGGGTACGAGAGGGGAAGGTCATGAAATGAGCACCCCCGCTCGCTCGATCAAAGGATCGGTCTCTACTAAACATGATATGTTATTTTATAAAGCTCATGTGTTCTTATCCGGTTATTAGCTAACTTTATTACGTGATGCACACATATAAGTATAGACTAAATCACGAAAATTGGAACGAATTCAACTCATATTTGTTTTCAAAAATGGTTTGAAGGTGCCACTCTCAAGTAAGCTAAAACGCGGATTTTCCACCCTTAGGTGAGCTCAAAGCATGATTTGCCACTTCGCAAAGTGAGCTTAAAACTCACATTTATCGAATTGTTCCAATTCAAGCAACAAAGCCTTCACCCACAGGCATTCATGAAGTTAAGCACTTAAGCAAATAGCCTCATGGAAAGCATGCTATCATTGCAACACTCACACTCGTGCAAGTTTGCTAAAGCGTAAAACTTACAGTGTACTCCGAGCCAAAACAAAAGCTAGTTAGAAATATGCATGATCCTAACTATACAAGATGCCTAATGCAACACATGCAATAATGCAACTAAATAGGTTCGACTATCTAAGATAGCATATGAATGCAACAATTTGATAACATGCTTTGAAACACATATTCAAATAAGTATTGAAGTACGATGCAGTTTGAATGATGCGCTGAGCCTCGGTGCATGCAAGACAAATGAATGATGCAAACATGTAAGCATAAGGTATGCTAATTGAAAATGATCCTAAACTAACCGTCGAAAGTGGTTAAGTAAAAGGGAGAAAGAAGTGCGGTTGGAAGACATGCACACACGCGTGCACACTTATTACAACAGTACGCCCTCGCGAAGGAGGGTCCGAATAAATAAGCTAAGCTAAGCTACACTAAGCTAAGCTAATTATTACAAAAACAACTAATTAAAATAGGCTAAGCTACACTAAGCTAAGCTAATTATTACAAAACGAAACTAATTAACTATTCTAAGCTAATTAATTATTACAACACAATTGAATAACTAGCTATGCTAAGCTAATTAAAATACAACACTTGAATTGAATTATTAGCTACGCTAACCAACTAATAAAGTGATTTACATGGCCTCGAGGGACGAGGGATGCATGCATGCTCGGTTGTTCCACTCGAAAATACCCTTGCCTTGCCATCGGATGCCTCTGTTTGCACTCATTTTATCTCTGAAAATTGCACCAACTTCCAGATTGCCTCTGCTCCAACACAGGAACACATTTGTACAAAAATTCACTGGTGGCCGGTTGGCCACCTTAACTGGCTGGTCGGCTAGTTTAAGTGGCCGGTCGACCACCCCCTTTTTTGGACTTCTACTTTTGCAGCAATAGAAAGCAACAGAGGCAAAGCAATGCATTTCCAAGAAATGTCTGTACTGCTACCCTCCTATTCATCTTTCAAGCTCAAAGGAGTGTAGCTCTTGGCTCTCAAGCCATCAACCAAGCATTTTCATGCATGATGGCCAAAGAACCAAACTTGTACAAGGTCAATGAATGTACAAACAAGACCAAAACAACCACCACCCTATCATGCACGATCAAGGGTGAGGATGACTAAGAAAAATGACACGTTTCATCACTTTGAGTATGAAACGTCCCATTTTTCTTGTGTTTGGATTAATGTCCGATCCAAACACATGCAATGCAACATAAATATGCTTATCTTGCACAAGTTTTATTTGTCATGTTTTGTTTACACATTTTACATTACCGATTAGTCCTTTAACCGATTAAGTCCAAAGTGAGAGTCCTCTAATTGGAAAGAGGGCTTAAGCCATAAGAACCTTGAACATGAAAGAGGCCTCATGCTGTTGGTTAGTAGAAACCCTCAAGAGAGGATTAAAACCATTAGGCATGAGAGCCTCAATTTCACACTCAAGCCAATAAGGGGCTCACGATCATTTT